CACACACACACACACACACACACACACAGAGAGAGAGAGAGAGAGAGAGAGAGAGAGAGAGAGAGAGAGAGAGAGAGAGAGAGAGAGACCCAGCACCGACCCCCGGCCCCAGACCACAACCACCGGCGCCCGCCCCCGAACCGACCCTGCCCCTGCCACCTACCAACTCAGGCAGGTCTGTGGCCCCACCCACGCCAAGCACCCACAAGATGCTGAAAACCAACATCGGCTCAAAATGTAGGTGGCGCTGCTGCACACCCCACCATGTTTTTTGTTTTCGGTCGTTTTTCAGCCCTCCCCCGAGGTTGGACCCTCTCCGGGCATTGGTGCCGCCTTGCCGGTAGGTGACAACACTGGCAATTCCAATTTGGGGCAACTGACTGCTTCACTCACCTTATACTTACACTAGCACTGTAGCAAACTATATCGAACCATATCAAAGCATAAGCGATGCTTTTTTTTACCCTTAGTCTTCATTCTTGTTCGTCGGACAGACGCCCTCACTGAGGGCACAGTCACACTAGCACCTTGTAGGATGTATCTGATAGCCATCATGGCCTTGGAGAAGTTTCTTTTTGTCCTCCTTTTTTTTTAAATCTTTATGGGATTCAACTGCTGTTAGTACCAGAAAAGAAAATACAATGGGACCCAGGCTCGGGAAAAGTCAGTGCGCAGTGAAATTCAGGCTCGGCAAAAACAGGCTCGGATGTCGTGGTGGTTTAAAAAAAAAGTCGATAGGTAGAATGAATGGTTTAGTTCCGTGGCGGTCGGTCAAAAAAAAAACTCTTATGTCTATGACAAGGCCTGTCATTCACACGAGTGCGCAGAGAACCTGGGTCAGGACTCAGGAATGTAGCCGGAGTCCAGCAGGAGTCTGGACTAAGAACCGGTTCGAACCATCATTCATGATTTGCAGTCCAATACATTATTTTTATGTTGTACATGTTTGATTTTGTGGCCTTGTTCAATTAACTGATGATCATGTGTTTCTGTGCTGGCCGTGTGTGGGTGCCGTGCATGGGTGTGCGTGTGTATGTTTGGTCGATTGTGATTGTACTCAGGTGACAGCCAATGACTACGTTCTGCAGGTGGCAGTGCCAAACTTCAGGAATGCCTGGGAGGTAATGGGCCCAACGTTCTCGAAGGGAGATGAATGGACATTAGGTGTGCGGGACAATCTGAATGAAGCAGTCCAGGCGGTGATCAATGTTTTGGGCATGCAGCCTTGTGAGGTGCGTCTGTGAAATCTTGTTTTCCTCGACTCACGCTATGGGACCTTAATGCATTGAAAGTGAGACAGGTGCTCTTCCTCTCTGATTGATTTTAGGGAAGGATGAGCTTCTTTTTGTTGGTGAGGGAAAAGGCCGTTGCAACGCTTTTTTTTTCTTTTGGCTGGTGGGCCATCCAATTTGGTCCGGTAGCCCTGAGCCTCTGGAATTCTCAGATTGGATCGATTTTGATTCTCAAGTTTGCCTGGGTGATATACTGACGGTTTTTCCATGTGTTGTGGCTTGTCTGTCTGGTTGTCAGTTTCTGTGTGGCCTACTGTTTTCACCATACTAGAGCTCCCAATCTGTGTACCTGGACTGAAAGTTGCCTGTTGTATGCAGGTGAAGATGGTACGCTGAATGGGGTCAAAAGTGCTGACCCATCACTGAAAGTCCACTCCCTGATAGCTTTCATGTCTGATGACAAGTGATTGTCTGTCGGGATTCCCTAGGTGCAGTAATGACTTGCAGGTACCTGTTGTCAGCATAGATGTTTATGTGCCATTGTTGTGGAGCGTCTTCATCCATCGTGGGATTGAATCATATGTCCAATAGTTTTCATCACATGGCGAGGCTAACCACAAACTTAACTTGATGCAGTTCATCTGCTTTACTACCATCTTCACCCGAATAGAACGCCCAGTCATTTTAGCTGTATCTAGACTGAAAGCTGGCCCAATTACAGCTGTAATGACCAGGCGTTGAAGTCGGGTGAGCACGTCAGTTCATAGACTTTCTCTACCTTCCCTATCATGCCAAAAGCTTCTGTTCGTTTATCAGATATCTGCCTTATTTGAACCGAGGTGCTGTGTGCATCTCCTGTGAAATGCAGCATTTCTAGAGCCTTTTTCTCGGTTATTGGGAGGGTTTCACTCTTTACGTCCATAGTGCAATGTGCAAACACGCACATGGGCAAATGAATCCTGTGCGGGCTGGCCGTGTCAGGGACAAAGCCCTTCTGGTCGGGGAATTACTGTTACCCTTCCTGGTGCTGTATGCGTAATCTAACTAGCCCTTTGTGGTCTCAATGTTTTGTGCCATGACCCACAGGGTACAGAGAATGTGCCATCCAACGCAAGGTCGCATACATGTCTGCTGTCAGGGTTGTTCATAGGCTATGTACAAGTGCTGGTGAGATTGTCGTTCGGCATCGATCCGCAGAAGCAGGTTGCGATGAAGTTGACTGTGCGGGCAGAGAATCAAGCTGTTTGTGACATGATTCATGAGGTCATAGGTAATGCTTAGCTTTAGTGGATAGGAGGGAGAAATGAGGATAGGGAGGGGGAGGGGGGAAGCGGTGGGGGAAGGTACGGAACGTGGTTGGTTTTTGTGTGAATGTGTTTCTCAATAAGCTTTGCGGATGGTCTGGTTATCAGACCATGGCTACTTGGCAGGAATAATTGCGGCAAGGAAAGTGGGAAGGCAGGTTTTAAACTTAGCAGGAACCTGGTTCGGCGTGTCATCAAGGTTTTGGCAAACTGTGATGCCGGTCGGAATTTTAGCAACTTTTATTGTGTTCCTACGTACCTTTCTTCTTTGATTGATGGTGGAATCAGGTAATGCCAAGATGTTGTGACACAGACCGCGGTTCTTCCCTCCAACCTGCACTGGCCTAACCAGGTAATAATAAGGAAGATGAATGTTCCTACTCTGCATTGTTACCTCTGTGTAAGTTGAAGTAGGAGACGGGCTGAGGAAAGAGGGGAGAAGTGGGTGAAGCAAAGTTATACAGAGAAAGGGAGGGAGGCTAATGAGAGTGGTATTTGGAAGTGGAAATGGGTGGGGAGCTAGGATGATTGCAAGAAACCAAAGAGAAGTGAAATTGAAGTTTGGCAACTTTGGCCAAAGTTTTTTTTCTTTTTTTTTCCTTTTTGACCCAGCTTCAGCCTGCTAGTGGGGGAGAGCAGTGGACAAAGCTAGTTGTACAGAGAAAGGGAGGGAGGCAAATACATGGTATGCGGGAGCGGAAGTAGGGGGAGAAGTTGAATGATTACAAGGGACCTTTATTTTGGGGGGGAGAGGAGGGGGGGGGACAATGCTTCAATCTGTTCACGGGAGCAACACGTGCTGGGAACCGGGTGCAACGTCCCCAAAAGAAATTACAAAGAACAAATGAAAATACCCGGGCCATTACCCAGCTTTGACTTGAGAAGGACTAAAAGAAAGGCAAATTTGTCGAAAGCTACCACTTCTGAAGACTGCCCCTGCCGCAGAGATCAGCATTTGTTTTTTGAATTGGCACTTCACCCAACCCATCCACATTCTTTTAAGTACTGCCCACACTCAAAAAAGAAAAAAAAAGAGAAAATCTCAAGGTGACCCAACCCACCCAAGTGTTTTTTTGAAAATTTCCTCCCATACCCAACTTGCCCATCACCGGTAAAAAAACTTCACCCCGACCCACCCACACCCGCGAGACCAAAATTACCCAACCGCACCCGGTACCTAATTATTTTCAATCCACATCTGCCCGTTCCCTATCGTCTCAGTCCCTTCGAACATTTACACGCACCACAACAACATGAAATCCTTGGATGACGGAGCGAAAATTGAAAGCATCTCCACTTTGGGCCGTCCTTGGATGTCGGCGCAAAAATTTGAACCGCTCCACAAGTTTAAATTTGGGAAGCGAATCTTGCCACTTGTTGTGGCTAGGTTCGATCCCCGTTGTTTGGGTTGTGGTCCAGCTGCTACCGGCCCACCAGTAGCGAGTGACACATTTTTTCAAGGAGCATCACAAAGTTCGATTTTCTATTGGCGCGGCTCTTTTTTTTGGAGGACGACAACTTTTTTTTCCCAGGGGGCCCCAGGGTGGAGATTTTCGGTTTCCTCGGCCTCCAACATTTGAAGTCCACAGGTGGGCCACAGCTGGGAAATATGTATGACGGGGGTTTAGGGGTGGGGGTGGGGGGGGGGGGGGGGGGGAAGGTTATGCTTCATCCTGGGTCTGCGGGTCGGGTGACCCAAGCCTAGCGCTCACCTGCTTGTCACCCTCCCATTCGGGTGACGGAGCCCCAAAAGTGACCCGTCCGTCACACACTCAGGCTGGCTCGCCTAGACCCAGCCTCATCCCACCCGTGCCATCTTATCAAGACCCACGCCTGACCCAATGCCTCGTGGGTGGGGTGGGTGTGGGTGGGTGTGGGTCTGGGTACCCGTTGCTCATCTTTGCCCTGCCGATTGGATGCCACCTCCCCCTCCACCTCTGTCCAGGACAAAAAATCTTAAACCACCAGTACTTGTGCCTTATCAGCATTCCGTTCAGACATCCAACATATTCACCGTGTGACATCAACACACCATCATGTGAGATCCAGTGAGAATGATAGTGGAGGAGGAGGAAAGAGGAGGAGGAACAAACGGGAGGAGGACACAAGACAAAGAGTAAAAGTTTGATAAACCTGAACGCGACTGCTTGAAGATTAACATGGAAGCAGCAAAATGACGAAACAAAGTTCCGCCTGGCGAACGACCGTACCGGTTTCACCTGGTCGCCAGCCAGGATCATAAGGGGCCTTTGGTCGGTGTTTAAACCTTTTACAAACCTTGGTTATATACCTTGTGTCTAACTAGGATGAACAGTTATCTATGAACAGTCTAGAACACCAAATTCGCAAACTTCTCCGCTGCCGCGCTCATAAGCTACTCGCTACCTCCGAAGCTCAAAGCCAACGCAAACTTCTCAACAATGAACCAGTACCTAAATAGTAAAAGGAACATGTCCTGTCTGTTCTACCTAAAAAAACTAAAAAAACAGAAATCGGGTACTTCAAGGAAAATGACGAAATCGTCCGGCGTCACACGTCCCGAAGGACTTAAAAGAGGAAATCCCGCTTTTTTTTCGAAACCTGGCACAGAGCCCGTAGTTAATTCCCTACCTGCCATGAAACTATCCCTGTCCGCCAATAGGAATCGCTTTTGGCTGTGAAGGGATCGTCCACCTTAAAAAAGGTGGTAACCAGTTCCCTGTCCGCCACGTAGCGAGCTCACATTTTTTGAAAAGAAGTCAGGGAAAAAAAAAGAAAAAGAAAAAAGCAAAAAGAAAAACGAAAAAGGACCTTGATTTCTGTGATCCTGGTCGGCCACCGATTCCATCCTGTTAAAAGCCGAACCCACTCGTTCCACATCCCCCCAGATTTCTTAGAGAAGGATACAAGGGCACTGCCGAACAAGTTGTCCGGGTAGCCTCTCTTTCATAACTCCTTTAATGACAATAGGAAAGGTAGCTCCGAGCCAGGCATTGAGTACATCTTTGCCCGGTGCAAAAAAGAAGTGACAACAGCCATTTTTCTGCTGTCTGCTGCCCGCAGAATCCGCATTTCTGGTTCTTTATCACAGGCACACACTGTACACCCGTAACAGATTTGCAAACGTGAAGTGCGCAGCCCAAGTAATCCCAATGGTCATCATTACTGGTCTTCTCGAGAGTCTGGTTGTCATCGTAACAGTCGCTGAAGTCTCCAGTCAATCTATCAGATTTCCCTTTGTCTTGGACGTCCTTCCCACTCATTTTTACGAAAACCGAGACGTCGTCAACCAAAGGTAAACCGTGGAATATTTTCCGGTCCGTGCCTAAACTGCTAAGAAAATTGAACTCGTGAAAAGAGCACAGAAGACATGCAATAGCAGGGCTTGACGATTTCCCCATTGGAATTCCAATTGTCTGCTGCAGTAATCTACCAGCAGCCGAAACAAAAATGTGGCCCAATTCAAACTCAACAAAACTTAGTACATGTGCAAATGGTACATGCTTCCAAACCTCTTCGCATATACACCTCAGCAACTTAGCTCCCTTACCTTGCCTTTTCACCACAACCGCTTTAACTCCTTGACAGCTCCAATAATCTATCGCCCAGGACACGGCTGAAGAAAGGACTGGTGCGGTAAATTTGAAAACCGAAATGTCAAAAGACGCCCCAACCAGGTGATCTCCCTTCTTCAAACCACCGTTGACCTTGTTAATCCGCCCTACCAATTCGTGGGCACTCCTCAAATTCAAATGCTCACTGGTCGGTAAGTTCCACAAGAGAGCATTCTCAGAATGTGCTATAATCTTCCCTCCAGTGGCCGAGCATTCGGGGTAAGAAGGACAAATGGGTTGCCATCTGCCAGGGTCTTTATGGTTAGGGATGCAATAAGCCTTACCCACCTCTCTGTCTCTCTTCCACTTGCTGATTGCGTCTAGCCTGACACCTTGGTAGGAGTTTCTGCACCGCTCCAAAAAATTTCCTCTGTTTCTTCACGAATGCGAAAAGCAGGGTTCCCGAAGAGCAGTTTGCTTGTCCTAGTCTCATAGACTTTCGGGCAACATACAAAAGTCTCACCCATATTATGATCCATTGGACTGCAGACCAAATCTTCTAGAAGTCCTAAATACGGACACAGCTCATACTTACTTACCGCCAACACCAGTTCCATTCCTCTGTTTACAAAACAGTTCCGTAATGCCTCATTAGGTAGACTAGAGTAATCGGGATTGGGTAGAGATGGGCGAGAAGAGAAACCTGCAACTAACTGTTTCCTAAGTTTAAGCAACGAGCCCGAGATGGTCGAAGAAGACTTGTTCATTCGGAATGATACATGTTTGCCTACACGAGGAAGCGCATGATCACACTTACTTCATGGACAAGGAAATTTGTCAAGCCTTGAGAAACTCCAAAAGTTATGAATCACGTCACCAATAGATTTGTTTCGTTTCCAGACAACTCGCATCCTCCGAATCAGCATATCCTTCCATGCAGCCGAAATCTCCAGGCCCGACACTATAACAGCACATAACCTTCGAACTCTTGCCTTACACAGACTCTCATCAAATACTAGTTGGATAATCAATCTACTACGTCCTTTGATGCCAAACCTTGTAGAGATAGTTTTTGACAATATGAAGTTGAGAACGAGACCTTTTGTCCTTGAAAGTTCGCACCGCCTTAAAGGCATGGACAAGGCGATCTAAATCCCAGCAACGCAATTCCTTCCTCGATGACGGATTGCTTAATAGCTCAGCCAAGGGTCCTTTAAACCACGAGTACCTCACTCAGCTATGGGCCGCGGGCACTCCCGTATACACGCCGCAGCCCTAGGGGGGTCCGCAAAAGGAAGGCCCGGTCGCTGCGTGAAGGCCGGGCTCTTACTATTTGTTTGTAAATGAAATTTGGCATAAATTAGGTTCATCCATCCAAATCTATCGCTTCCCTAGGAACGACACACTTGAGAAAACAAAAAAACAGAAAGAATGGAAAACAAAAAACAAATACACAAACGAAAAAAAAATTGAATGGACAAAAAGTTCAAGTTGCGCGCGCGCGCGCGAGAGAGAGAGAGAGAGAGAGAGAGAGAGAGAGGCGGCG